AATCCTAGCTCTGTCTCTTTGAGCTTCATTTGTGGACTCTGGCACAAAGCTAAATGGAGGGTCATTGTAATACACACATTTCCCCCCTAATATAGACATAACAGTATCATCCTTGGGAGACAAGGGCCTGAAGTTAGCAAGGCTGTCTCAGCTCCAGAGGCAGTCAGCAAAACCAACAGTGTGATACTGCAAAGACCTAAGTATCTATTTTCATTTAGATGCTACATTGAGGACAGTATTACCTGTCCTCAGTGTTCTGGGGATTAATTGGCAGCATGCACAAAGTGCATAATCACATATTTCTGATTCCCTTCTTTAGGTCCAGCCTGTATGGACACAGTTTTTAGATGACAATGGTGCAGGGTCTCCAAGATATGAGAAGTTGCATATTGTCACAAATAAGTGGTGATGATGTGCCTTTTGACATTTGGTCAGCATCTCTGACAACTGGAGGGCTGTGCAGCCTCTCCAGCTGTGGGCTCCATCTACTTCTTTCCATAGGCTTAAACTACTATTGTATACTTTGCAGAATTACTTGATCGTCTGTCCCTGAAATCTCTTGGTTTGAATTTATTTCTATGAAAAGGAAAAGTGGTTTCCTGCTGCTGATGTTCCTTTAGGCTATAGTTTTTAGCTCCTAGATGTGAACTGGATGAGGCAGTGGACAGTCACATAACAGAGAAGGTCTTGAGCTGTAGGAAAACAGGGCCAATTATCACACATGCCAGTGGCTAGGACCTGTGATGTCAGCCTGTGTGCAATGGGCATTCTTAAAAACCCTCTGGGCCTCCATAGTATTCCCATCTCATAGCAAACCACAACCTGCTCTACATGATCACTGGTAGCACATCTTTCTCAAGGGAAGCAAGTAAGGTCACAAAAATACCCAATGAATCACTAGAGATTTTCTGTAAGCATTATTAATACCTGCCACAGAACCCATTTGTGTTACTGCCATAATCACAAAGTCTAGCTGATAACTCCATGTGCTACTGCAGATTGTGACTGGGAGTGTGAAACACTCTATATCCAGGCATGTCCTGAATATAACACCAGGAGAGATCCCTTCCTGGCCAGATGACAAGGGAGTAGATGGGAGCAGGACCACCCATTACTCTGGAGTTCCAGTCACAGGAACCTGACTCTAGGGTAATGGTTTATTGAAAACTGTACTCTGCAGTCAAGGTGTCCAGTTGAAACTTGATAGGGAGTCCCACAGGCCTTACAAATCACATTTCCCCCCCCCCCACTGAAAGTACAGCTGTTTTCTAGAAAGCACTCCAGATCAATGCTTATTTTGTGGGTGCTTCCATCACAGTCCAACGATCACTGTGGTTGCTCTATTCAGCTGGATGATTTTACAAAAATAAGACAAGTTGCTTATACTTTTTCCTTGTGGTTGCAGGATGGATACTCAGTTTGTTATCACTTTTCTCTGTATTGAGTATGTGTATCTGCGCATTGCTTCCTGCACATTCAACTGAGCATGGATAGAAGATATTAGAAGAGGGGGCTGGGAAGGTGGCTCAGTGGTAGAGTGCTTGCCTTGCATGCATGAGGCACTGGGTTTGATTCCTCAGCACCACATAAGCAAAAAGAAAAAAAGCCGAAGTGGTGCTGTGGCTCAAGTGGTAGAGCGCTAGCCTTGAGCTGAAGAGCTGAGGGACAGTGCCCAGGCCCAGCCAGGTCCCACAACTGGACCCCCCCACCTCAAAAGAGAAAATATTAGAAGAAACATGCATTTGTGCAAAGCCTGTGTACACATTTCACTGTCCTTAATACATATTATTTACATAATTTTACTACTTACTATTTAATTACATAATTTAATTTACATAATACAATTATTTGCATAGAATTTAGGTTTTAGGAGTATAGGTGTATGTATGTATGAGTAGCAGTAGGGTTTGAACTCAGGGTCTCATGCTTGTTTGGCACTTTCCCACTTGAACCATACTTCCAGCCCTGATTTTTGCTGGTTATTTTGGAGATGAAGTTTCAAATACTTTTCTGCTCAGGCCAGCCTCAAAATGTGATAGGATTATAGCTGTAAGCCACCAGTGTCAGGTTTACATTAAGCCTTTCTTTGTTTTTTGCTGGTCCTGGGGCTTAAACTCAGGGCCTGTGTGCTGTTCTTAAGCCTCTTTATGCTCAAGGATAGCACTGTACAACATGAGCCACAGTACCACTTCTGTTTTTTTCTGAGTAGTTTATTGGAGGTAAAAGTCTCACCAACTTTATTGCCCTGGCCTGGCTTTGAACCACAATCCTCAGATCTTAGCCTCCTAAGTAGCTAAGATTATAGGCATGAGCCACCAGCACCTGCTTTATATTAAGTTTTATAAATTATTTATATAGAATTTAAAGTTTACAAGAGGATGTGTATAGTTATTTGCCTCTACTGTGCCATGTTAAATAAGCGATTTGAGTATCTACAGATTTAAGTATCTAGGGGGCCCTGTGGATACAGATGGACAACTGTGTTAGGACCCTGGGTAATGACTAAGGATTTGACTATGACTTGCTTTGGCCAACAAGACAAGACCATGTGACACAGGCCAACTTGAAGTAGTACCCCTGGACATTAGGACTCAACCTCTCTTGCTGCTCTTGCTGCTCCTTGCCATGGCTGCTACATGATGAAGCTTCTGGAATAGACTGCTGGATGATGAGAGAAATGTGCTCCTGTCACTTTAGTCACTGTAGCCAGCAAACATTCTCAAGCCCAGCTGTCAAGCCAATTAGCAGCTCACTGCCAAATGAGTGAACTCAGGGGAGACCAGCAGAACAATCAGCTGACCTTAGCTTAAATTGCTGACTTTGCAATCATGAACTAAATATAGTTGCTTCAAGTCACTAAGTTTGGAAATGATTTGTTATGCAGCAAATTTTGCTAACTGATACATATCATTTATTATTGCATAGAACAGCAACAGTAGTAAACCGTAAACCAGTTGCTGCTGTACCTATAGTAGCATTTCTCATCAGTCATTATGTTTTTTCCCCTAATGTTATTAGTTGTTTTAATTTACACAAAATGGAATAAAACAAATACCATATCTATATCATGAAAATGTTTCTGAGAAAAAAAAATTTTCATAGAATTTCTAATTAACTACTCTGGCTGATCTTCTCAAACCATTGGTGTGTAATCAGCATGAGAAAAGTAAAAACAGCCACAATGTGTCCTGATCTTTTCCCCTCACAGCCAGGGAGCCATTTCTTGGTCTGGGTGCTTAAGAAACTGTCCAATCAAATAACTTGCTGTCCCATCAATGTATGAAAGTAACTCTCCTGGTCAAAGTATAAATGCCAATATATTCAGTCTTAGTATTCTCAGCAAAAGTCATTCTACACATATTAGTAACAGTAGAGAGGAAGCATCACTGTTATACCTAAATATTCTTGTTGCCATATTATTAAAAAGGCCTGTTTATAGGAGCTACCTCTACCATTCCTAGAACAGAGCGACAGGATTGGGTGGAACAGCTTATTTCTCCAGATGCCTACACAACTTGTCAAAGCCTTGGACCTGTCGGCATAGACAAGTAAGTGTCCTTCACCATCTCCTAAATTTTAATGCGAGAGATTGCCTCGGGGGAGGTGTCAGACCTTTGTAGAGTTGCCAAACTCTACAGAGATGGTTGTATGAGAAATTGTTGCAATAAAATGGAGCCTGAAATACATTGACGAAAAAAATGTGGATTCAGACATAGTATGAATAAAACAAATTGCATTTAAATATTGGCTGGGTGTATTTGCAGGCTTCATCAGAAGCCCATAGAAGCGTTAAAGAAAGAGGAGTAGAATTCTGAGTATAGTCCATTGTGAAACCGTAAGAGGGAGGCTGACTGAGCCTAAGATGACATGCTGATCACCTGTTCCTGTCTCATTGACACTGACACAATGAGGTCATTCAGCGAAGAATATGGACACGCCGAGGCCAGGACAAGATAAAATCCATCGTGTGAGAACGCGGTAATGAGGACATGTAGAAATACCTTTTGTATTTTCAATCCAGCCACTACTCCAAGTCTTTAAACTGCAGGGATCTATTGTACCTTAGAACTGATTTTCTAAAAAAAAAAAAAAAAAAAAAACCAAAAAATCACATCAAAGCTAAAAATTCTCTCCAATCAATGACAAATTTCATTTTCAAAGTATTTCTTTTCCACTTCTAATGCTGTCGCTTATGACAAGAAGCTCTCTGCATCCAGTGTGAGCCTCTTCTCTCCCTCCCTCCTCTCCATCTCTCCCAGATTCTTGTCACATGCTGCAGGCAGAACAGCTTCCATAATCACAGACCTGACCACAACCACAGCCCTCTTGCTGGATACCCTCTCAACTGTTCTCCAAGGTCACAGGTCAAGGTTTGCCCCCTGCAGTTCCCAGTTCCTCCACACAGCATCCTGCAGGCTTTGCATTGTCATGTGGATTAAACCTTGCAGCATTCAGTCCTTCAGTTACCTTCACCTTACCTGAGGGTACCCATCAAAGCATAGCTCACGAAGTGTGATTTAGGCAGTCCAAGAAGTAAATAGCTCTACAGGTATCTGGGCTCTCTAATTCCCATCCCAAGGCCCCTGAGAGGTGCTCTGAGCTGGAGACCTCTTCTTTCTGTTCCACAGGCATCCAAGCATGCTTCTTGAATCCAATCTCCCCTACATGCCTGGGGTTCTCTGTGGCAGGATGTTGCTTCCCTAAAGGGCTTGTCTTTCCCATGCTTACCACAACCACAGGTCTAGGTTCCCTGCAAACCTCCTGGGCTACAATGTCTGTGCTCACCTACCACCACCCCCTCAAGCCTCCTCATTTGTAGAGCAGGGGTGCCACTCCTGCAATCTTTCACCCACTCCCCCTACATATACTTTGAGCTCACCCTCCCTTGAGAAGCCTGCAGTGCCAATGGGTTTTCCGTTCATCAGGCCGCCTGTGTTAAGTTCAGATGTCTGCTTCACAGACACATGCAGGCCAGGCAGCATTCAGCCAGATCCTTAGACCTTGGAGAATGACAAACATTTGATGTAGGCTTTTGTGCAGAAGCTGAAGCACCCTCCTGGCTTCTCAAGGCCCTGGTTGACTTCCTGTCCCTCTTCTTCTTCCCTGTGTCACTATATGGTGTTACATGCTCCTCAGACATGCCAGGGTCACCACTGAGTGGCCTGTCCATTGAGTCTCATGAGTTCTCTTCCCAGGAGTTGCTCTCACACCTGGCTTTCCAGGTAGCTAAAAGCCATCACCTTCTGGGTTCATGTGGTTCTCCCTGAGGCTTGAGACTGCCTCAATGTTCTGCTGGCCTCTCCCCAGTCCAGGACTTCATGTAGGTGAGGCTGATTCTCTTGAAGTCTCTCCCTCTTCCTTTTTCCTGCCCCTCCTACCTCGGATGCCCAGAGCAAGCCATGCCTGAAGCCTGATCTGCTGAGGATGGCTACACCTTGCTGAGGGAAGCTGCAGAGCCTGGGTTCGGCCACATCTTCACGCAGACTCCCATTGCACCATGGAAGTTTCTTCTAGAATGTCCACTTCCTCCAGGTCATGGCTCTTAACTGGTTCTAAGCAATTCATGGCCAGAAAGCTTCCCAGGCTGCACTGAGTCTAGACCAAAGTGGGCCCACATCTGCTGTTTCCTTTTTCTTTCATTTAGCTACTGCAACAGTTTTCCCTCTCTCATACATGCAGCCTACAGACCTCTCCTGACACCCACCTCATCCTGAGCCCTCCACCCTGGACATCTCTCTTCCACCTCCAAAATGTCCTTGCCCTCCCGCGCCCCGCCCCCATCACGGGAAATGCCCCTTTCCCTTTAAGTAGTCTGCTTCTGACTGAACTGATCTTGGCTCCCTGCATTCACATCTCAGCAGGACCCAAGCCACTCAATGAAGAGAATCCTCAAGCTTGGGCCACAGCCTGTCAGCTGACACCCTTGTACTCAGTCTCACCCTTCTACCTGGCAACACCCACAAAGGCTGTGCCTAATCATACCATCTCCAGGGAGCACATTTCTTTCTCTTTCAGTGTGTGTGTGTGTGTGTGTGTGTGTGTGTTTGGAGTTCAAACTCAAGGCTTCACACTTGCTAGGCAAATATTCTATCACTGGAGCCACACCGCCAGACTTTTTGCGATACTTATCTCTAAGATAGGGTTTTGTGCTTTTGCCCAGGCTGCTCTAGCCTTCTGCTTCTGCCTTTTGAATCACTGGGATTACAGGCCTGAATCACCATGCTTCTCCTCAGTGTATGCATTTCTGCAAATGCAATTCAAATGCCTTCATCTTGACTAAACAAATGATTCTTCTTGGAGCTGATCGTAGCCCACTATGCCTAGTATGCCTGAGGCCCTGGGTTCCATTTCCAACATCATAAAAGAAAATGGTCTAATAATTCAATCCATCTTCCCTTTTCAATTTCTGTGCCACAGAAGGGTTTTTTTTTAGCAATATTAAAAATCTCTTAGTAGAAAGTTGAAGATGCCAAATTAATGAGTCCACATTGAACTTCCCAAATACTTCCCAAACTGACCTCACACATGTCCTCCAGCCTCCTGAGGTTCTAAGAACATGCATCTGTTAGAATTTCCTAACCACCTCTTTTCCGAGAACCATACTACCTTGAGACACCACGCGAAATTTTTCACCAATACCATTGCTGGCCTTCACATCCATGACCACACCACTTCTCTACTTGGTGAAAAATCTCGCGTGGTGTCTCAAGGCAGTTCAGTTCTCAGAAAAGGGATGGTTAGGAAATTCTAACAGTACCCACACCCCATCTTGTTTATTTATTTATTTATTTTGGCCAGGATCCTCTTTCTCTTGTGGAGTAGTCAACAGTAGAATTTCTAAGTAGTGACTGGTGACTGTTGCCCCATGTCCATGACCTTGGGTCCTGTGTATCAAAATGACAATTAAAGCCTCCAGGCCCTTTGTCCATCTCCACCCCTTCCAGCCTTCATACATACTGAGGAGTGCAAGAACACTGAGAAAGACTTTGCTTTCTCTGCATCTTTCTATGCTACCTTTATTCCCTGACTTTTGCTGGGCCCTCCAGGTCTCCCTCAAACCCCACTTTCCCATTCCCAAAAGACCCCAACAAGCATATCTTCTCACCTCCAACTCCTGTAACTCCTCCTCCTCCTCCACGTCATAGGACAGGGTGTGGATTTTAATGTCATCTGCCGAGAGATCGATGAACTTCCCATCAGGATATTCCAGGCTGTCTTTGGTCGGTGACCGGTCCTCAATGAAGGTGGTCTCGCAGCAGTCGGCAGCCACACCATCTCCCCAGGAGCGTAGCACGCCCTCGGAATAGAGGATGATGTTGGGACGATAGTGGGATTCCATCGACTGCTGCAGGGTGTTGGGGTCCAGCAGCTGCTGCACAGGCTCCTTCCTGCCGGCATCCAGGCTGGTCGGTGTTGCACTGGCCATCACTCGGTGGCTCTGGTACTGGGGTGCTGGGTAAACAGACACCAGGCCATCTCTGCTCTCAGCCATGAAGTTTCTGGTGTTAATCAGGCCATTCCTCTTGCCAGCGTCACTGATCTTACTATGCACCAGCACGTTCTTCTGTTCAATGATGCCATCCATGGTAGTCTCCCTCTCCACAGGGTGTCAGGCTGGCCAGCTGGACTCACAGGTCACACTTGTTTCATCAGATCCATTTCCCCTGGAGGAGGAAGAAGAGGAAACGGAGATGAGATGAGATGAAAATCAGATGTATCACCAGACCCATAATGGTTCAGACTGTACTAGTCTACTGACATGCATGGTAGCCATAGAGTCAGATAAATATGCAGACCTATTTGTCCTGTGAATTTTTTATTTGGTTCTATCAGAGCAGCCAGCCAGAGGAAACCAGAAATTGATTACCTGCCTCTCTGTAAAGTCTCTGCTTTCAAATGAAGGAAAGGGTGGGAACTGGAACCATGGCAGTCTTAAAGAAACCCCTGACTGCCTGCAGCCATCCTGAAACCCATGGGTGAATTCAATCCCATCCACATCCACAGGAAATAAGACCAACTGGGGATTGACACAACTATTCATTCATAACCAAGGAATAAAGGGCTTAAGATAAAGCTCCACACAGATGCAGAAGATAAACAGTTAGTGCCATACTTGGACAAAAGTGCCAGACTGGGGACACTTGCATGTACATACTAGTATATCCATTCGAATGTACTCAGCACTTCCACATGCCTGATAGACTTCTAGCATGACCTAGGAATCTCAAGATTCCCTGCCTTGGTTTACCTGATTTATGAAAACATCTATGTATCTGTGATTCCATTAAGACCTCCAAATTCCATTAAGGTAATTTTCCTATCTAGGCTTGCAAATGGAAAGAAAGAGAGAAAGAGAGAAAGAGAGAAAGGAAGGAAGAAGGAAGGAAGAAAGGAAGTAAGGAAGGGGGAGGAACAAAGGGAGGAAAAGAGGGATGGAAAGGGAAAAAAGGAATGCAAGAAAAGCCAAAGGAAGGGGAAGGAAGAGGAGGAAAGAATAGGGGAAGGAAGGGCACTGAGATTATGATTTAAGAAAGAAAAGAATATATGTCCTCAACTTTTTATTGCTTGCAAGTCAATAACTTATATAAAAACATTTTAGTCTCTGGCACCTCTGGTGATATAGCTTTCTAAAACATTTAAGGATTTTCACAGTTATAATTATTTCATTTGTTGTTACAGTGTTCTAAAATTGCAGAGTTATCAAAAGAAAAAAGAGAGAGGATACCTTTGCTAATAGAAAAAAATATGAGAGAACTTATTCAGATGAGTAGCTCAACATATGCATTAAAACATACTGGATATTAACAACATGACCCTGTATGCAATTTAAGAGAGGTCAAAAATGTATTATCTTGCTGGGCACTGGTAGCTCACGTCTGTAATCCTAGCTATTCAGGAGGCTGAGATCTGAGGATTGAGGTTCAAAGCTAGCGTAGGCAGGAAAGTCCGTGAGACTCTGATTTTCAATAAACTACTCAGAAAAAAAGCTGCAAGTGGCACTTTGGCTCAAGTGTTAGAGCACTAGCCTTGAATAAATGAAACTCAGGGACAGTATCCAGGCCCTGAATTCAAACTCCAAGACCAGGGGGAAAGATGTGTGTGTGTGTGTGTGTGTGTGTGTGTGTGTCTGTATCTGTGTGTCTGTGTGTATAAAATCTTGTCTGCCTAGTTGCTTTAAAGTGTCTGTCTTTAAAGGCATATTTATAGTCTAAGAACTCAGAATGTTTGAACAAAGATTTTTGGAGGCACATTAAGTATCATATGATCAAGACACTCCTATATTTAACAGTAGGATATTTCTTTCTTTTATTTTGTCAGTCCTGGGGCTTGAACTCAGGGCTTGGGCAAACACTAGGATATTTCTAATTTCTAGTTCAATCACTCAACTTCTCCAATCTTCCACCTTCCACAGAGAAGCCATTAGCTTGCTCTCTAAATTAGGCCTTTCTTATAATTTTCATCCGTTGGATATAGCAACAAGTCTGTAACTTCAAAGACTTAGCTTCTCTGGCTGTGTTTAAGCTCCTTCTGCCAGAATCAGTTGTATACAGCATGCAAAAGATATATAATTGCATTTGTTCAAATTCTGCCTTCTCAATTTAGTTCTGTGCTCTTGTCCAAGCCAAAGTTGCTTTTCTATTCACTATTTGCTAATATGCTCTTATCATCTCTTCTTGTTTTCTTACAATGACTGTTACATCCTTCTCTGCCAATGCAGCAGCTATTGAGGTCAGCATCTTCCTCTCGTCCTGACAGAAGCTCCCTGACAGCAAAGAAACAGTGATTTCTTTTCCCTTTCTTCCATTTGGTAGCAAATGAATACATGTTGCATCTAATCAGTGTTGTGTGGTGAAAATAATCCTTCTGCAGTGTACCACAGGTGAATCTAAGCTAGTGGCATCTTGAAGTGGGTTGGGCTAAGTCACTTCCAAGTTCTCTACAGTATGCTGCTCCCAGTTCCCCCAAGGCAAGCAGACTCAGCACTCTCTGGGAATTTGTTAGAAATGCAAAAGGTCTGGGCTATGTCTCAGCAGAAGAGCTCATATCTCACATATGTGAGTCCCTGCGATCAGCACCAGCATCATGCACACACACACACACACACACACACACACAATTCTCTGGCATAGGTGCTGCATTGCTTGAGTCCATATCTATATTTTAACATGATCCCTGGCTCAATCTGCACATTAAAGCTTGAGGGGCAGGTGTTGGTACTGAACAAGTTACTTGATTTTATTCACTAAATATATTCTAATAAACATAGTGTGAGCATCTTTAATCTGGAGAAAAAAACCGAAGTTCCAAATATTTTCAAAGCTGAAGTGTTTGAGTGTCAACCTGATACAAGTGGAAATTCCACATCCAACCTCACGCTATGGATCTACAAAAAATGAAAATATTGAAAATATGGTATAGAATTCTCTCTTGGCTATCATGTAAGATGTATAGAAACATAAACAGATTTTTTTTGTTTAGACTTGGATTTATATCCCCATGATATTTCATTAAACATGTCCAAATATTTCAAAACCTAAACAAATATGAACTCTGAAACATGGGTGGCCCAAGAATTTTAGGTAAGGAATACTCAACTTGTATATCAAATAATTTACCATCGGAAATAATTAATATTTTTATTATTGAAGTGAATTTTCCAGCTTTGTGTACCATAAATTGGGTCTAAATGGAAAAGCTGACGTTGGTGAAATTTTTATTTTTGTCATGGCAGCATCCTTCAATAGCTTTTTCTAGACAGTCAATAGCTCCTTGCCGTGCCAACATCTGAGCTTCCAATGCCTCTGTTCTACATCTGGCAGCATCTGAATGAAGCATATTACAGGACAGTCTTAATAACACTTGGGTATTGGTGGTCATAGTTGGAAAAAGAGACTGGCTCTTTTGAGAATTGGTCCAGTGACCAATTCTCCTCAAGACACAAGATTAATCCATCATAAGATCAGAGCTCCAGGACCTAATTACCTTCTTCTAGGTCCTACCTTTAAAAAGTTCTACCACCTCAAAACCAGCACACTGGGGGAATCAAGCTTCTAGCATAAAAAACCTTTGGGGAACAAATCATATCCAAAATCATAGCACCATTCCATCCCTATTTTTATTTCAGGGCAATAGTATCTAAAAATAAATGCACTTAAATTTTTTTGTCTGGATGTTGGAAGCTTTCTTCCAAAGCCTCCACATAACCATTATCTTTCTGTGCAAGTGAAAATCATCCTGGATTGAAGATAAAAGCCTTCAGATGGACAGAAGGTGGCCTCAACTCTCATTGTAAGTTACCTGTAGAAGTTTCAAAATGGAGAATTTGAATTCCTTTCTCAAACCCAGGTGAAGAAAGAAACGGACATGTATCAAACATACAGTAAGGACAGGGCAGGCACTTCTGCGCATCCACCTGGCAAGCACTGAGTGGGCGCCAAGACAGCCACTGGCCAGGACACTTCCTGCAGCATTGAAGACTATGTGAATCAGCACCAAAGTATGATGAGGGCTCGTAAACAAGGAGAAGCATGGCTGGAGGGAATAAACATAAGGGGCAGTAATCTAGTTGGGGGATGAAGGGCAGTGCTCCTGTGGTGAGGAAAGCCCTGAAGGGTGGTGTGGAGTTAACTAGGTCAAGAATAAGGGAATTGGTCCAGGCTGAGAAACAGCAGGCCAAATGCTGAGAGCTCTGAGGCAGGGAATAGACATGACAAAGGTCAGTAGAGCAGGACACTCAGAGGATGGGGAGAGAGGACAGGTGGTATGGAATTATGGCTTAGTATACCTGTCCTGACAAGTTCTGGAGGCTGGCAAGGCCTGTGGGAGGTGAATACCAGGCTGAGGCACTTCCCTGGAGTATGTAATGAGGGAGGGTGAAACAGAGTAGGTGGATGAAGCACCCTGCTTCTGGCTTAGAACCTTGCACTAAAGAAATTAGAGCCATGGAGATTAGTTTACCCACATTGGGTAAGGTAAGCACTGGGTACTACACTCCAGGTTTGGGGTTGATAGCATCATCTTGGCATTGTCCATGTCATTATGCTGTCTGCTAAGCTTTTGCAAGTGACACTCAAGTAGCTGATGGATAAATACCCTAGCATCTCTGTCACTGGGAGGGAACAGCTCTAAGGCCAGCATCCCATACTCTCTCACAGACGTCCAGAAGGCCTGCTCCCCAGCTCTCTAGAGATCAGCTGACTGGACAAGTCTCTCTTCACTTCACTGTGCCAGCTGGTGCTTCCTGGGGTCTCTCTCAAATCTTTGTCTCAGGTTCCTTTGCTTTTTCCCCTCTGAAATTCATGCTGAATTTAATCCCCATAATGCAAATATTCCAAGAGGAATATTTCATCGAACTATTGTGTTTGTAGGTGAGGACTAGAAGAGTGAATAGCATTAATAGGGACATTAGGGAAGACCCTCCATGATTGAGTCACAATAGTTTCATGACAAGAGGAAGACTCCAAAAGAGACAGACACACAGAGACAGAGACAGAGACAGACAGACAGACACACACACACACACACACACACAGGGTCTCTTGCCATGTAATAGATTCCTTATATCATGATGTTAGGACTCTTCCAGAGAAAAAATTCTATTTTCAGATGTGGTCTCTCAATCTTGTGACAGATCATAAGGCAAATTAACTGCTTTTCTTTATAACTTACCAAGCCTACAATATTGTGTGATTTGCAACAAATAAAGGAAATAATACAGCAGTTTCTTAAGAGCCAACCAGGCTGTTCTGGAAAGTGTTAATCACAACCCATATGAACCAAAAAAAATCATCTGGTGTGTTCATCAACTCAGAGCTCTGCAAACATTACTGAATAGCATCACCTTATTTTCATAGTTGGGATCTGCAGAAGGGGACATGTATATGCTTTCATATATCCAAGCGGGAGCCCCTGCAGAGATGAAAATCCTCCTGACCCGAAAGATAGACGGGCAACATGTTGGTATGGATGCACACAGTTCACAATGAAAATTCAGAACAGGCCTGCAAGGTAGCTAATTCTTCCTGCAAATTCATAAGCTGCTTGATTACAGAGTGAGAATGTGTGGGGTCATGGTGTTTGTGTCCTCACTTCCCGGGAGAATAATCCCTCATTGCTAATTGATTAATTGGCATTCTGGTTCTACAGAGCAGTCTCAGAAGTGGGATAATTAAGCCTGCCCTAAAAGATGGATTCCCTCATGATGTGTTGGAAAATGGTTTGTTTTTCTGACCTCTAAAGCCTGGGAGAAAACCCAGCTCACAGCCTTTGCTGCAGTAAAGAATACCCCTAGAAGCCAGTAGGATTCAGCCTGGATCTGCAGCCATGCCATACCTTTTAGAATCTACAGGGCCTTAAATATAACAGTGGCTGATTGAAATGCAAACTGAAAGTCAGCAAGAGGAATAGCTGAGCGCCCTCCAATAAGGCAGCCTGTGCTGAAGCCTGGTTTTCGTCCTCACCACCAAATGCAAGATCTGAGCAGTGTTATGCTCTGTTTCCTTGTAAACTATGTAAAGTACACCCTTTGTAGAGAATCCCAGCCTTCGCCAGGGGCAAATATGTACTGTGAATATGTTGTCATTATACATGGATCCATCCATACCGGAATTAGGACTATGGACTACAGGTTGTATTTTTCTCAAACTTGTCTCTAATGTCTAACAGATTTTTTTTTATTGTGAGGAAATAACTAGAAAAAAAGTGTTGAGAATCAGGGTTGCATGTATAGCTGTTGTAGTTATTGTTGTTTTCAAACAAATGCATGAATAAGGAAGTGTGAATTACCCAAACTCTCTCAAATTACTTTTCCTTTTGTGCCTCTCAATAATTCGAGATTTTAAAACAGCTATTTTTCCCACTCTACCTCTTCCTCACCAACTCCCTCCTGCTGCTTTACACACCCTCCACAGAGACTAAAAGGTCTACATTGTTGGGTTTATGATTTGTTTTAGGTGTGGAGTGGAAGGAACCTTACAAAGTAGTATCTAATATTCAGCTCCGTGGCTGAGAGGAATCTTAGATGCAAAATAGTTTGTGCACAGTAGTCACACTTAGTTCAAAAACTGCAGCAGCTTCTTCAAGTAGAAGGTGAATGGTGGAAAGTAATCCATGCAACTGAAGAAGAAAATTAAACTAGCTGCAGATTAGTTGAGCCAGGGTGCTTGGGGTATGTGGCAGGCATTGCCTGCTTCCAACACTTCTAATTCCCACTCATAAGAGCTCAATTAGGAAAAGCATAAGGAGAGCACCAGGTGTTGAGTCTTCCCTAAGCCCCAACAGGGTTAAGAAACCTTTTGTGTAAATAGCAGTGTTTCCTCTCCTGCTAAGCCAATGATAGTGTTTCCTGGCAGGGCCCAAGTGTTGAGAGAGAAAAAGCTGTGTGCACATGTCACTAAAACAATTACAATTTGCCTTTAGAACAAACACATAGAAAAGCCTGCTGTTTGGAGGAAGAGATGGTAAATGAGGCATTCAAAACCATACTAGTTATAATTATTTAGCATTTAGATGGCACATTACAATTGCAAAATGCATCATGGTATGTATCTCTTTTGGTGGTTTGTTGCATCCTGCTCTCAAAGCCAATTCAAAATTCTGTTGGAGTGTGCGGATTTTTCATAGCACCACTGGGACAGAGTTTATAGAAATTCTAAATCCTATTTAGTAATGCTCAGAGAAGTATAACAGATATGATGTGATTCTGGAAATAAGAAAACTTGCAGATTCAGACTATTAATGCCTTTAAAATTTGCACAATTTCCTTTAGCTTTGTGGGTCTCCATTTTCTTAAACAATTTTTAAAAAACATATTAAGACTCTATGACAGGTGATTTTTTAAAAAGGCAAAAGCAATTGAATTCGAAAAGGGAGCATGGAGAATCAACAAAAGCAAAAGTTTCCCTTTGCAAATGAGATAGGGAGCCATGCTTCTAACCACAAGTCATGAGGTAGAGGATTTGGCACACATTATTCTTCCCCCCTCCCTCCCAGGAAGGGAGGAAAAAACTATGGAAGAGGTGCCACTGATGAAGATACATTGTACTCAGAAGCTGATATGCTGAATTGAAACCTTTTACAACTACTTAAAGATATTTTTTAAAGAGTAACATAAGTGAAAGATTTGCACAGATATTAACAAAAGCTAAAATGTGGAGAAATCCTTAACAAAATAAAGGTTTTAAAGTGCCACGAGAACCGATGATGAGTTCAATCAATGGCTAGAGGGAGGGAAGGGGGTGGCAGCTGCGGCCCTGAACTCCGGCTTGAAGGATGGAAGTCATAGGACCTAAGCAACCATGTTGGCATTGTACTTTACACTTAACACCATGCGGGCTTCAAAGACAGTGGGCAATTCATTCAAGGTCAGGGAAAAACCTTTTAGGTTATATACCAAACTGAGCAATCATCTAAAACTGGGCAAACCCAGTTTTAGATGAAAGTGAAACAATAACAATACATAGTATTAAGAATCAGAAATTTATGTCACACACACTCTCTCTAAGTAATTCCCTTACAGATTCACTTCAGGAAAGAAAATGACAGTGAAACCCAAGGATGTGAGTTTTTAGGGATAAGAGGGAGATGGAAATGCTCAAGATATGAATAGAAAGCAATCTCTACATGGTGACCATCCAGTGGCTATCTTCCCCTTTATAATAAACATCAGTGAAGTTCGAAAAGACTTTCCTTGTAAATCAGAATGATGGAGCACAGACAAGGCTGGAAGATACTAATAATGCTGTTTCTCTGGGGAAAAAAGCAATGGGGCCGGGAAGGTGGCTCAGTGGTAGAGCGCTTGCCTTGCATGCCTGAGGCCCTGGGTTCCATTCCTCAGCACCACATAAGCAAAAAGAAAAAAGCCGGAAGTGATGCTGTGGCTCAAGTGGTAGAGTGCTAGCCTTGAGCTGAAGAGCTGAGGGACAGCGCCCAGGCCCAGAGTTCAGGCCCCACAACCGGACCAAAAAAAAATAATAAAATAAAAAAAAAAAGAAACTCCAGAATTCCTCCCTCCCCGCTTTTCCCCTTCCCACACAGACACAAGTTAAATGCAAGTGAAAACAAATGTCTCATTATTGTGAGCAGTTTGGGAATTTTAAAAAATACAGAATATATTTTCCTTTTTCCAATAGAGGTTATTATTCTGGGTAATAGGTAATATTATTTTATTACCACAACTTGGCTTCTTGGTTTCACAGTGATAATGTTTATAGAATCATAGTAAGCATTTAATATTTCTTGGAAACTATATGGAGGTTAAACATAATTGAAAAACTAGATTTTAAAGTTCATTAGTCCATCATTGTGGTCATTATTATCACCATCATCATCCTTATTTACAGGAAGCCCAAACCTTTACAATGATTGTCTTGTTTAGAAACTGAGGCCTCAGTACTAAGAAGTTTGCCACCTGTACGTTTCCATGCTAATTTTCACACTTAGCATCTCATTCCTGTTGGCCACATTCTAAAGAAAAGCAAGGATACATAGGCAGCACATGGGAAGAAGAGGAGGACAAGATGTGTGCTCACCACAGGTCCCCACAACAGGGATTTAGGAGGTGGGGATTTATGTCCATTTGAAGATAGGACAATAACTAAGGACTCAAACAGGGGCTCATGCCTATAATCCTAGCTATTCAGGAGGCTGAGATCTGAGGATTGCAGTTCAAAGCCAGCCCGGGCAGGAAAGTCTGTGAGATTCTTATCTCCAATAAACCACCAGAAAACTGGAAGTGGCTACTGGTAGAGCACTAGTCTTGAGCTGAAGAGCTGAGGGACAGTGCCCAGGCCTAGAGTTCAAGTCCCATGACCAACATCCCCTCCCCACAAAAAAATATAACCTTGAAAAGTTGAGGGGGGAAAAGAGATTGGCATTAATGTAAGTGAACTAAAAGCCCTTCAGCAAGCTACCCATTAAAGCGTTCTCCATTTAGAATCTGAAGGCAACTGATCAAAAATTACCTGTATGGTCAGGTGCTGGTAGCTCAGGCCTGTAATCCTAGCTACTCAGGAGACTGAGATCACAGTTTGAAGACAGCCCAGGCAGCAGAGTTGGTGAGACTCAAGTGGTAGAACATTTGCCTTGAGCAAAAAATGCTAAGCTCCAGTACTGGCACTGGCACACACACACACGCACACACACACACACACACACACACACACACACACACACACACACACACAAATAAAATGACAAAGAAGTACCTAATGAACACAGCAGTTCAGGTGAAGAGGTAATTGTCCAGAGAAAAGGAAATGGGAGTTGCCCTGAGAAGTAGATTTGAAATATGGAATGCATTGCTGGGAGCCCAGGGAGATGCTCAGAATTTTCATGACTATTTTTGTTTCCTACTTTATTTTTAAAATATGCTGTTATCATTCTAGACAAAACACACACAAAATTAAGAAAAACGGGGCCTCCTCTCATTGTTGAGGAAAAAAGTAACATGGAACAACTGATGTTCAACACCATGGAGGTGTCTCAAAACCAAATGAACAATTACCAAATGATCTGGTGACTCCATTGTTGGGCATAAGCGAGGCAACTTATTGAAAAAGAGACACTAGGAGATATTTGTGGACACCAAAGTACACAGCGACATTAGATACAGTGATCAAGAAGCAGAAAGATCCAGATGTCAATGGCAGACAAATGGGTGAACAAAATAAGCCAC